TGAATCATTCAGACATCTGAACCATTAAGAGGCTGAAACAAACAGCCCCTAACTATTATAGAATACAATTTTCAATTTTAAATAATTTTAGACTATTTATTTTTTAGAAGTTTAATTTATACGGAGTATATAATAAATTTGTGAAATTTATGACCACTTTGTTTGTGACTCTAGTATGTTTGTAAAATTGTGTACGAACTTAACAAACTAACTATTATGAATACAATTCTCAAATTTAAATAAGTTTTGACGATATAATTTTATAAATTTAATTTATAAATAATAAATTTGTGAAAATTATAATTATTTTGTTTGTGATTGTAGTATTTTTGTAAAATTGTGCACAAACGTGACATGAGTGTTTTTGTTTGGGTAGAAAGACCAAAGTAGGATTAAAACATTGAAAATATATTAAAATAGGACTTCCATATTTTTATTCTCGAAATAGAACTTATATTACCAAATATGATAATGTACATTACCAAAAAAGTATAGTAATGTGCACATGTGCCACATTATCACAATCTAAATTCCTATTCAATTCAATTTATTTTGCATACAAGAACAACAACAACAATAAAAACAACAACATTACCCCAATGCCTCAAAGGCTCCCGCCAATTGTGGGGTAAGGGGGGTCGGATGCACGCAGCCTGACCCCTATGTTAAAACATAGAGCGGCTGTTTCTAGATGACCCATGATCAGCGTCGAAAGTTGAATTGACTAACAATTACTCAACTATTAAAAGAAGCACTGATAGTTTAAGAACCATTTTGCTTTCTCCGAAGCTAAATAAGAGTGAATATTTGGCTCCACCAGAAAAGATGGAAGTCAATTCAATTCATTTTAATATTGGTATAAAATTAAAAAATAGAATATATATATTTAAAAACAATTTAAAAAGTTCTACTCCATATTAAACAAAAAGTGACTAGACTATTCTATTTTAACGAACGAGTAAAGAAAATAGGTAAGGAAATAAGACACGATTTGACCATGTAAATAGTAAACAAGAATATCTTTAAGGGATAGGGGGAGTGATTGT